CAAAAAGAATAAACATACCTTCAATTTTTGCTAGACAAAGCCCAAAAATCTTTGTAGCGAGCTTAGAAATTTTTATTGAAAATGTATTTTTCAATATGTTTTTAGACCGATATTAATAGTTGTTTACGACTATTAAATGATTATTAAACGATTTCAATAAAATTTCTTCTTCATTCATTCACAAATAATTAAAAAAATTGCAAAAAATAACGATAAAACCTACAGACTAACACTCAGTACATACGTTTTTCTTAAACTGCCGCTCACTCGAGGAGCTAAAATGGCGGATGAGAGTACTCATCCTATAGTGCTCTACTACAAGTATATTGGAAAGCCATCTGGTATATAATTAAAAAACTAACTAGCTAATAATGATTGGTCACTTTAAATTTAATACAATATTATATAAATAATTATTAAATATAAAACATTATATAAATAAATAAATAATTTTAATAATATTTATTTAAGATGCTTAATATATTATAAATAAAATGTTAGATTTAATTAAAATAAATTAATCATAATTTTAGTAATTAGACAGAAGTTGTTAATAAATTCCAACAGATGGCGTTAGTCGCGTGACAAAAATAAAAACTAGTACAACAATCATGGAAGTATATTGCATTGTTCATGTTTTTAGTGGATATTAAGTGGGACAGTTAGGAGTTCTCAACGTTAAAATACATAGTGCATTCTATTTAAATTGATTATCATTCTTATTTTTTTTTCTTACAAGTACATATATACATATTATAGATATATATATCTAATTAGAATAAAAAAAAGTTATGTCCTCGTTTACGTTTGGTCAAAAATCGTTTACACCAGTGCCACCCGAGAAAGGTAGCTTTCCACTCGATCATGAAGGTTTCTGCAAACAAGTAATGATAAACTATCTTCGATGTTTATTAGAACATAATAATCAAAATACAATGTGCAGACATATTGCCAAAGAATATCTCGGTTGTCGAATGGATAAGGATCTAATGGCGCGTGAAGATTGGTCGAAATTAGGTTTCGCTGATGAAGTTAAGGAAACGTAACCAATTTAACAAATATATTTAATCGTAATTAAATTATATAATCATTTGAAGATTAAATCATAATAAACGTAATATCTCTGTCACTGTTTGTATTACCAATGACTGACTTTGTCATTGATTGAAAAGTTAGATAAATATTGTTATCAAACTGCGATAAGTTTATTAAGTGTGTCTATCTAAGACAATTATTATTTATGCGTTCTAGAAATGGATAGAGTGCAAGTTCAACCACATGTGATTCGTCATCACATTTAGAAAATTTATATATATATATATATATAATAAACTGCCAATATTAAAACAATATAAACGTTTAGAAGAAAATATTGTTGGTAGTGCTTTAGAAGATCTCATGAAATTTATGATAAAGTATACACCAAATTGTTAACCTAAAACCATACTTAGTCTACGTTATACCATTTATGATATTGTTAAAGAAAGAATTAAGAAGAAAATGAAGTATTGAAAGATAAGTTGTCAACTTATTGCAACAACAACAACAACAACATAGAAGGCCTATTCTATATCGTAAGCTTAAACGTTTACGTTTATAGAATCAATATAAGGTAAAATAAATCTATTTTGGAATTATTTGCATCGTTGCTTCTTAGAGAGCGTCGCTTTAAGCCAAAACTTGCTTTATTATTGAAATAAATAAGAACAAAATGGCAAGCGCATCAAGAAAACGAGTATTAATCGGTTGCACTGGTAGCGTTGCGACTATTAAACTGCCTCTATTAGTGGATAAATTGTTGAAAAATAATTTGGAAGTAAGAGTGGTCGTTACTGAAAAGGCGAAGCATTTTTTTAAAGAAGCAGAATTATCACCAGGAATTCAAGTTCTATCTGATACCGTCGAATGGGCTGCATGGCAAGATCGAGGAGATCCAGTATTGCATATAGATCTTGTTAAGTGGGCTGATCTATTCTTAATTGCACCACTTGATGCTAATACTCTTGGCAAAATGGCGAGTGGAATTTGTGACAATATACTTACCTGCGTAGCTCGTGCTTGGGATCGATCTAAACCTTTATTATTCTGTCCTGCGATGAATACCAAAATGTGGGAACATCCCATCACCAGACAACAGGTATGAAACTTCATTATATTTAATCTTTTAACTACTATGCAACTTTTTACAGCTTTGTATCTTTGTAAATAACACAAAGATTATCTTAATGTTAATGAAAATATTTCAAATGTATTATTAAAACTTATTTCAGCTCTAATCTATTGAATATTTCCATTAATAGCTCTCGTTACTTAAATCATGGGGTTACAAAGAATTACCATGTGTCTCTAAAACTCTCATGTGCGGTGATACAGGAATGGGTGGAATGGCAGAAGTCGATACAATCGTTGAAGAATCCTTGGGTTATCTTTATCCATGGAATTTCATGCCTCCACGTCGTTGTACAATTAGGGAGTAATAGTAGAAATTATTAGGTATTAGATTTATTTATTGTAGTAGCATCGTTGCACTTCAATGTCGTCGCTTTTTCTTTTTTTTTTTTAAGTTTTTCGTTCTTGTTATATTTCTTTTTTAGCTCAGCAAGTAAATCGTTAGATTTCACTTGATATAGCACGTCTTTGGAAATTTTTCAGTTAATTGTATTGGGTTGTTCGGAAAGTTTGTGCCGATTTTCGATAGATGGCATTAAAGTTCTTTTGCTAAAAAACCTGAAAAGTTCTGGAAGCACGAAATTTGAAAATTATTATATTATTTTTATTATATTTATTATTTATTATTATATATTATTATATTATATATATATAGTTTATATATTTATTATGTAATAAATATATAACAAAAAAAGAACTTAAATGGGTTGCATTTCAATCTTTCATCAAAATCGGCACGCGAACTTTCAGGACAACCCAATACGATTATACGTCGTGTTGATTCTAAATGGAATATAGAACAAAAAAATGTTGAATTTAAATACTCCGAAGGAGGTTTTGTTAACTCAGGAATGTATCAACGGAATGAGCACGCATAGGACACATACAAAATAAAATATAATTGAAATTTGAAATGTTCCAAGAGAGAGTTCAAAGCAATTCATCTTACAATTGAATTCTAAAGTATTTTTATTATTTATCAATGCTTAATGTATTTTCAAATTCGCAATAACTTTACTTTAGAATTTATAAAGATGATATTGCTTTCTTTCTTCGAATTGGAACACTTAGAGTGGTACTAAAAATTTATTGAATTTATGGGTCACCGAAAGTAATGAACAAGGTTGTGATTTTAGTTCGCATTTTTAAATATAAATATTGCTGTGAAATGTGAAAAGGATAAATAAATTTGTTTTTAGATGAAAAATAAAAAAAAAAAAGTGTATAAAAATATTTAACAAAGTGCTTTCAAATGCTTGTGTAAAATTAAAAATCAAAGTGAACTGGAATCATTGCCATTAATGATACAACCTCAACTAAAAAATAATATTGCGTTGAATAAAATAGATAGTAAATATTAATATAAATTTTACAAATGTTTTAAATGAATGATAGAACAATCAAAAACTATGTAACTTCCATTATCTTTTTTTTTTTTTTTGTAATATGTTAGCTATTAGTATCACAAATTTGTGATGATGGTGTTCAATCTGACATAAATTCAGATCTGGGATTAAAATGAGTTGTATTTATTGTTTACTGAGTTGTATTTACTGTTTACTGAGTTGTAACAAACACATGCACTTAACATTTTCATGAACACTTTGAAACTTTACAAAAGTTAAGAAAAAAATATTATCACTTGTTAGAAAAAGTAAATTACAATTTTCTTTCAGTTGAGGTTGTTGCAACTTTCTCCGTCGTTTGTGGAAACTGTATAAAAATTGTAAAAAAAAAAAGAAAAGAAAAAAAATTGTGTTGTAAACATATCGTTTAAAAAAAAAAAATGTTCCACAAAATGCAAATGTACATGTTTATGCTAAATATATATATATATATGGACAGGGTATCTAAGATTTTTCTAATCAAACAGTGTGGTCAGCATATTTTATGTATGAAAATAAAAAAAAATTAATCATTTACAGTTTTAATCAAGAGCCATTTATTTGTTAACAAGAATCATATTTCAATTTCTAATTGATTATATTCAATGATGATATTTTATTATTATTAAAATAATTAAACAAATCTCAATTGAAATATTAGGTTTAATTTAAGTTGTATTTAATGCTGTGATACAGTTTGATTAGAAATATTTGAGACATTCTGTATATACATGGAATATATGTATATATTAAAAAGAAATATTTTCTAATTTAATTATGTTTACCATTTATTATTATAAAGCAAAAAAAAAAAAGATCTTGTTCAATAAACAAATTACATAAAAATTACACGACAGATTTTAACAAAAGAATTACACATTATATTTCTTTCCTTCTTTATAAGGATTACATTATTGAAGAAGAGAGAAATATGTTCGGATATCTCTCTCTAGTATGTGTAAAAATAATCAATCGTTTTATCATGTATATATATATATATATATACACATATACACATACATATGAAGCGCTAATTATTAATAATATAAAAAATTGTATCGTTTACTACATCGTTTCATTAAATTCTAAATGTTTTTTTTTTTTCTATTCGGAATATATCCCGAGAGGTGGAAAAAATGCTGCACGTATAGGATTATAAAAAATAAAAATTCAATAAACACATAGATAGAGGAAATCTACATCGTATTAAAAAAAAAAAAGAATATGTTATATATATATATGAATTGTAAAATTACAATTGTTCTATTAATTAATTACTTTGTTTTTTTTCTTCAATTTTTCTATGTTTTTCTATGTTTTACTTTTTTAATTAATTAATCATACTTTTAAATATAATTTTGGATTCGTTAATAACACTTTTTAATGGCCGCTCACACAACATGTTTATGATATAACCGGAACAACTGTTATTTATTTATAACTTTTGATATATTTAAAATTATAATAAAATTAAATTTGTTGTTGTTGTGCTTTTATATGTTAATTTTATTCGTGATATTTAATTTCAGTTTTTTAAAATTAATTTTTCAAAAAGTGTGACATTTGACTGCGTAGTCGTGCGGCCATTGAAGCATTAATAATGAAAATTACTTTTTCTTTTCTAATGAAGCACTTATATGTATATATTCGTAAATATGCAAAATCCCGAAAACATAGTTTTTTTTATATGTTTTTTTTGTTATGTTTCCTCGATACATTGTTAATATTCTTAATTAATAATATTTAATCGCACCTTTTGCGGTATTATAAATATCACAGTTTATAAAACTGACGACACTCTATCGTGTCATTTTAGGATAAATTATTTATGTATTTAGATAATAATTATATATCTTTATTTATTTATATATATATGTATAAAGTATATACGTTTTAAAGAAAATAATATAATACGTTTTGACACTATAATTATACTAAAAAATTTATATCGCGCTGCGTAGACATTAACAAAGAGCTAAACTAAATTTATATAAAAACGTATTATATTATATATATATATATATATATTTATTAAAAAAAAAAAAAATAATAATAATAATTATATATAAAAAATAGGGGCAGTGAGCGTAAACCAAAAAAGTGATCCTAAAATGTGCACAACATTTACGATGTAGTCAAATTGAGCATTAAGATCAGATCAATAAGGCATCTTAAAATATTATTATTATTATTATTATTATTATTATTATTATTATTATTATTATTATTATTATTATTGTTATTATTATTATTGTTAATATTGGTCCAGTAGAATTATTTTTTATCAATTCCGATCTTTACAGGTGCTTTACAAAATTTCTTTTACAATTATATTATATTATTGTTATTATTATGATTAATTTTTAATGGCAAATTTGATTATTCGAGTGAATTGGTCAAAACAATGTTTGTAGACAACAAATTTTGGATAATATCGCAATGTAAAAAAATATTTCTCATTTTCAGGACTTTTTAATTTACGCATTTAATGTTCCACCTCTCTTTCGCTCTTATTTCTACGATTTTTTTTTTTTTTTTTAATGTCATGGCCATAATTAATTAGCCGGCAGGTGGTAGTGTGTTACACGTTGTTTGTAAATTTCACGCCATATTTTTATGGTCCTTTTTTTTTTATCTTTTATTTTTTTTTCATTATCATTATTATTAATTATTTATACGGTAATATATATTTATATATATATAAATTATAAATATTAAGTTAAATATGTTGTTTACGGTATAAATTGTTTGTTGCGTAGTGTTTTTGTAATTTTTTTTTAAATTTATATATATATATATATATGTATATATAAAAAGACGCAACGTATAAAAATATGGTATTACGTTTGAAGTAAAAAATTATGCGTGTGTGTGTAATAAGGCAATTATTATAGCAGATATATACAGTTCTTTTAACGATAGAACTGTCGTCCTTGGTAACTATTGATTTTTATTTATTTATTTATTTTTTGCATTTCTTTTATATCTTATTGATTCTTTCATTTATTTTAACAAAAAGAATTATACCTATAATTACTATTTTCAAACAATTAGGTATAAACAAAAAGAAAAGGTGCATGTACGCCATTCCAGTGCGTTACACCATAAAACAAAAAGCACTGTAAATATATGTATATTATATATTTGGTATAATTATTGTTCGAAAAAGTTATAACAATTGTTCGTATACGATCTTTCTTTCTTCCTTATTTAAAAAGATATTTTGACTATTACGCAAAAAATACAAAGACGAAAGTTACAAAAGTGAAAATAATAGGAGTGAGTCTTGAAACTTCAATGGAATCCGCTGACGAACTGACGATCTTTGCTTTCCTAGGAATATTATTCTCAACATCGTTGGTTTCTAATTTACGTGGACATCCCATCCAAAAGGGTGCCGACAGTTTTTGTTTCTCATGAGCGACTTTCATTCTTAGATCGTCGAACAACCAGAAACCTTTACCTTTGAAGAAGTAAGTCTTGCCTGAAATCAAAGAAACAAAATGAGAGATAATCATTTTGTTTAGAAGAATCTTAGCCCTTATTATTATTATTATTATTATTATTATTATTATTATTATTATTATTATTATTATTATTATTATTATTATTATTATTATTATTATTTAAATGGTACTGAGAGAATATTTTACATAACAGTGATTTCAAAATATATTTGAGTTTCATATTTCAATTGTTTTTAAAAGTAACCATTTCTGATCATTGTAATAACAAGTCATTTATTTGATAAGCATTTATCATTTATTTAATGAAAATGAATAAATTTCATATAATTTATTATCTCCTATTGTTCTGAATATTTTTGTGAATCACTGTACACGTACCCAATTACTGTATTATTATTATTATTATTATTATTATTATTATTATTACAAGTCATTTATTTGATAAGCATTTATCATTTATNTTATTATTATTATTATTATTATTATTATTATTATTATTATTATTATTATTATTATTATTATTATTATTATTATTTGTAATTACCATCTTTCCATTGAAACACAGCATCGATGTCGTTTCCAACACCACCAAAATTGCTACTTATATCTCTTGGGTAATCCAATTCAACATAATTAACTGATTCGTCGAACCTGAAAACATGAAATTATTTTAACAAACATGTTTGATGAATAATATTAAGTCTACCGTAAAATTTTGTCCGTTTAAACAAACATTAGTTCAATTTTTTGTCACTAGGGGGTAAAGTCTCATTTCTTCAAATGGAATATACAAATTGCCACCATGTTTTCTAAAGTTCAAAACTAATTCAATTAATTAATTGTTTCATTTTATTTTAAAAATGGACAGAATTTTCTGGTAGACCTAATATTATAATATATATATATATATATTATAATATTAATTTTTTAATATTTTGTAAATTGTATTTAAATAGCAAAATTACGTATTTCTTCATCTTCAATTTATACAGAAAGGAAAGAGGTTATGAAAATATAGGACAAAAGTTTTACGAAACTTTGATTTTACAATTCGAACGATTGAACAACTAGGATTTCCACCCCCCACCCTCAATTCCTTGGAGATTCGTTATCACTTAGATGGATTCGCTATAAAAAACTTTATTTCTCAATAAAAACTTTCTACGAGTTTCTTTTATAACCAAGGAAGAGGAGGAGGAGGAGGAGGGGTACACGTTAAAGGAACAAAAGAACATATAAAATCTGAATAAAACAAGGAATAATAATCATTTAGAAAATAATACCTCCAATACATGGAACCACTGAAGAAATAAGTTCTACTGTTGTGTCCCCAAATCATAGCACCATCAATTTTTTCCAACGACGCTGGAAGACCAAGAACCGTCAATGGTTTTGGATATCCCGATTCTAAATTATTAGCACTGAATACGTAATATTTTTTCCCTATGAAAAATACTATTTTTTTGTCTGGTCTCTCATAAACTGCATCCACATGGTCAATATCTTCTGGTAGATTGAACAACCTCGTTATTTCTGCTGGATAACCTTCGTATAATCCTTTGTCACCGATCCTCCATAGATACTATCAATAAACATCAAATTGTTTTTATATATATCATCAAAAAATCTCTAAATGTAAACCCTAATTCTAGGAGTGATCAAATTATCCTATTTTATTGGGTTGGCAAGCAAGTAATTTCTGTTTTATAGTGTGAAATAAAACTCAATTGTTTTTAAATTAACAGTTATAAACAAAATTACACGGAATTTGTTTCTATAACAACCTAAAAGTGTCAACTACCAATCCTCAAAAGAAAAAAAATTCTAACATTAACAAAAGAATAACGAAACAAACATAACTTTATCTATTGGTGCAAGCCAAAATTACTTTATTGCTAACCCAATATTTTAATTTATTTGTAATTTATTTCAAAACTTTTCAAACTTTGCATTAATTATTGGATTAGTTTACAATTTTCTTCTAGTATAATTAAATTATTGTTTAGTTAAGTAATCTAACATAATGACTACTTACACGTCCTTTGAATATGAACACTTCTCTACGAATAATGCTAATAGCATCATAACTAGTGTCACATTTATTTGGAATATCATCCCTGGGTGATTGTGTCCACCTGAACCTCGGTCTTTGAGAAGTCGTTGGTCTACCAGTAGTCGTCATTGTCGGGATTGTGGTAGTGTGGTGTCTATGAGGTTTGTGGGGTCTCTGGGGTCGATAGTCCGGCCTCTCAGTTCTGTAATCTGGTTTCGACGGATAACGATCTGGTCTTCTAGGTCTACCATAGTCCGGATAGTGATTGGGTCTCGTTGGTCGCGTTCTCCAGGGTCTGTAAGTCGTTGCTGGTTTCATTGTCGTCGTTGTAGTCGTCGTTGTCGTCGTTGTTGTTGTTGGGGGCATTGGTCTTTCTGGTGGGAATGGTCCACCCGGTATATTACCCCATAATTTTTCTTCAGGAGCACCTGTTATAACAAAAAGAAGAATTGTTTTTTCATAAATGTTCATCTTGTAATCCAATTTTTATATTTAAAAATCGTATGATTGATGATTTATTGGCAAAGAGATTTCTTATGGGGGGTTGAAGGGTGAAACAAAATATATTTAAGATAATCGAAGAAGAAGAAGGGTAGGAGAGGAAAATTAAAGAGATTTAAATCGAATTAAATGGAATTATCGGATAGACCTTCACTGTAATTGCATCAAACGATTAGAAGGTAGAGATTAGATTTGCCAACCAATCTGCAACCCCTTTTCGATAACGTTTCTCTATCGCAGCTCGTTTTGTAGATTATACTAATTAGCTGACCGCATAGTTATGAATATTAATTATCATTCCATTTATATTTTCCCCTTCTTCTTCTCTCTCTCACTCTCTCTTTTCATGTTACACACTAATATATTGATTTATTAATTTATTACTAATGTCCAAAACCAAATGATTAAATATGAGATAATATTTATTAATTGTTAAATTAAAAATGTAACATGTTTTTTCAATGAAAACAATATTTGGTTCAATTGATGATAGAAAAGGGTAGGATTTATCTACATGTAAAAATGGTTGAATCAAATTTGTTTTTATAAAATACTATTGAGAAAAATTTATGTTTGAAAATTTGTCAACTAACAAACAACACTCTCAATGTGTATTTAATTTCAATTTTATTTAGATACAAATTCTAACTGTTATCAAATATTTTGGTGAACACATTTTGATGATGTTTGTCATATCGATTATTACTTTTATGTTTATTGAACACACATTGATTTTCAGAGTTGCTGGTTCATGTGTGTATGTGTGTGCAGGTGCATAAAGTATTTGACGAAATTTTCAAACTATTTTTTATACGAACAAACATTACTTTACATTATATCGACTTAGCTTTTCATCATTCATCGTTCGTGTTTGTATACCATCAGTTATAGGACACCTTGTATATATATATATATAGGATGTGTGTATGTGTTTGAGATTATTCTTGTATAAAAGATCAATCATACTAACGATATTCCAACGACCTATATATATTAAGTTTATACATATGTATAAGAGGTATAAATTGTAGTTTTAGCAAAGGAATGGAGGTTTCATAGTTTCTCTTGCCACTTCCGTCAGAACATAAACTATTCTCTATCTTTCCATCCTTCTACCATTTCCATCTTCTCTCCCTTTGAACCCAAAATCTTCTCAGGTATTCTCTTTCTTAAAGCAACATCCTTCATATTAATATTACATATATACAGTCAGTTTTTAAATGATGAATTCCAATCATTAACGCATAGAATAAACTATATGGGCCCATAAAATTATGATCTAATTGTAAATCAAAATTAAAAACAAATGAGTTTATCAGTTATTTCATAACACATTAAAATTGAATTGTTTGGTTATGTTTGTTATTTCAATATTATATAGATAATTCATTTAATGTTCAAATGTAATTCTTTAAATATCCTTGAAACAAGGTCAGTTTCATTGAAAGTTTGTTTTAAAAAAGAGACATAAAACATAATTTCATTAATAAAATTATTTTCTAGAAACAAACATTGAAAGTTTGTCTAATTATAATTCATGTAATTAAATTAACACTATTATTATTATATTTCTTTTTATTAATTACGTTAAGATATTAACACTAGATTTACTAATTATTTATACGTATAATATATAATTAATTAATTTATTAATTATTTATTATTTATATTTTAAAATTTATATATATTTATATATTTATATTATATAATTTAATATATTTTATTATATATAATTAATTAATATAAACATTACATTATTGTACATTAATATAAACAAACACGTATACGTATATGCATCGATAGACCACTCTGGTAATTTTTATCAAACGCATATATACGTCTATAGCAATCTAAGGGTTAAATGATCAAACTTGTGTGTTACATGGAGGACCTTTATAAAATCTTCAGAAAATTCATTCAACTTTAATTCACACACAAACACACAAATATAGAAATTTCCAGAGGAAATAAGCTTTCAGCTTTAAAGGACGAAACCTATATATATATATATATGTATACAGGAAAAGGGTAAAACAGGAACACTAGAATTCGTCCTTGTTTCCCTTTTTCCGTTCTGCGGAAAAGCAGCAAAGGGATGATGAAGATCTCCACAGACAAACACAACAAAAATAAAATAGAAAGAAAGATAACAGGGTTTTTACCTCCGAAAGTTGGTGGTGGTTTTGTACAGTTAAAGAGAGAGAGAATGTTTTATTTAAAAAAAAAAAAAAAAAAAAAAAACAAAAAGTATTTGTGCCATTATTCTTCTCGTTTTCTTTGTTTTTATTTTTTTTTTTATTTCGTTCAACGAAAGATTTCGTTTTAGTCTTTTATCGATGAGGAACATTGACAAAAGGGTGGCCAGGGCAGACAGCTTGTTGTTTCCCTTTTATCCCTTTACCACTACCCCCTTGGAATCTTCCTCCGTCCTTTTCCACTTTCAATACAATCTACAACCTCAACCCCCTTCACCAAACCTCCCCTAAATGCCGTCACTATTACGATAAATTCCACTTACTTAATTTAAGGGTTAAAAAAAACATTGGCAAAGAATTCTTTTTTATTGAATGAATTATTTTCATCCCCATTTTTTACTCTCGTCATTTTTATCTTCCTCTTATTTCTTTCCTTTTCTCGATTGTATTTCCTGATTTTATTTTAATCTTTTTTTTTATTCGTCTGTGCACTTTTCTCATTCGTTAACCTGCAACTAATTATTCGAACAAGGGTTTTTTTAAGGAAAATAATTGGATAAATGAGAAAACTGGACCAATGGCAGTGTTGCTTTTTTTTTTTACCCCTTCGATGAGAGAAAAAAAACAAATGGAAAAGAAATTTCTTTTTATTTTCTTTTTATTCTTGGTTTTTTCTTTTCTCGTAACTTGCAATTATTATTTAAATATTGTATATTTTATATATTAGTTTTAATTAATAACAATTGATTTTGAGATTAATCAGAAATCTTATAATTATAATCATTATTTTTTTTAATAAAAATAATATGTTTTTTATCAAACAAATAAATAAATAAATAAATAAATAAATAAATAAATAAATAAATAAATAAATAAATAAATGCGAATAAATGAATGCGAATAATTGAATTATATTCGTTCATTAATTCATTCGTTGATTTGTTCGTATACGTTCATTAATAAATAATGAAATAAATAATGAATAATAGAATGATTTAATGAATGAATGAATGGAATGAATGAATTGACAATTTTCGGTAGTTTTTTCGGTACAATTACTGCACTCATTCGTTCATTTTATTCCGAATAATCATATCGAATTAAATACGCGTCCCTATTGTTCCCTTAAAAAGGGACAAAAAGAGAGAAAAGATAAAAAGGAATATAAAAAGAGAGAAAGAGAGAAAAAGAGAAAGAGATAGTATTCGGGAAAGTGCCAGGGGCGGCTGTGGTCGTTTTAAAATAATTTGATGCATTATTTATTGTCACGAACGAAAGTGCTTCCCTTTCTTTACCCCCACAAAAAGAGAAAAATAAAAATTAAAAATAAAAAAAAAAAGAAAAGAAAAGAAAGAAGTGACGAACGTAGTCCTTAGACACCCCCTTAGTCCCACCCCCGTTCCTCACAAACCCAAACTCCACTCGTCATTTCTTTTTTGTGTATTTTTTTCTTCTTCTTCTTTTTCTTTTTTTTCTTCTTCTTCTACCCCATCATCGCATTTTAAAATCTCGTTTTGTAAAAACAGACAAAAGGGGTGTGTATTTGTATATATATATATATATATATATATATATATATATATATATATGTGTGTGTGTGTGTGTGTGTGCAGATTTCACCCTATAAAATGATGATGATGATGATGATGGCACCTGACGTTTTCCTATTTCTTCCAACCCCTTTCCCATTCTCCACTTCCAACCCCTAAACTTTGTACTTAAAACTCGTCTTACTTTAAACCCCCCATTTCTTGGCCGAACAATCTTTTTTTTTTCTTTTGTCTTTTTTTTTTTTTAAAGTGTCCATTTATCCATTGAGAAAAATATGGTGTCGCTGGTTTTAAATTTATTTTGTTTTATTATGAATTTTAATTAATTTTTTATTGAATCTTTTATGTGTCTGTTTGTTGGGTGTTTGTTTGGCAGTGTGTAGGTGTGTTTTCAGATTCTTTTTAACTCATTTTCTTTCCAAACATGTTTTCCCTATCTCATTTTATTTTCTTTTCTTTGATTCATTTTCTTGTTCAGTCTGTCGATTCGATCAATCCCTTTTCTTTTACTAAACTCATTTTATTTGTCTGTTTTTGTTTATGTTCTCTCTTTGGTTTCATTTTCATTCGGTTTGTCAATCCACCCACTACTATCCATTTCCGTGTATTCTTTCTCGTATTCTTTCTCTCTATTTTAACCTCTTTTTTATTTTATACTTTTTTTTATGTTTCTCTATTTCTCTTGTTTCAACTTCACTTGGGTTGGTTATCCGGAAAGTTTTAGCCGATTTTGATGAAAGATTGAAATATTTTGCAATTTAAGTTTTATTTTGTTGATATATATTTATTAAATTATATATAAGCGTTATTCTGTTTCACAATCTTTCTCCATTTTTAAGAGTAATTTCCAAATTTTCTCCTATCAGAACTTATCAGGTTTTATTTTTAACAAAAGAACTTTAATAATGCCATCTACCGGAATTCGACACGAACTTTCCGGACAACCTAATATTTTTTTAATTTTTTTTTTTATTTCACGTACTCTTGATTCATGTCTTCTTCTTCTTTTTCTTTAATTGGTCAAAAATCAATTAATTTTATTATTATTATTATTATTATTATTATTATTATTATTATTATTATAATTTTATTTAATGTTTTTTTATTTGATTTGATTTGACAAATAGTATGAAAAATATGAGAAAAAAAAAGTAGAAATAAAAGTAAGAAGA